CTCCTCCTCCTCCTCCTCCTCCTCCTCCTCCTCCTCCTCCTCCTCCTCTTTCCTCCTGTCCCCGACCTCCTCCGCGAGCGGTGGGCGCACCTCATCGCCCATGCGCGGCGTGGGAGCCGCCCCGAGGAGAACTGCTCACCCGCTGCCCGGGGAGTGCTCGGGCGAGGCCGGGGGGCTACTCGGGAAGCCAGGAGACCCCTCGCTACACCCAACCTGGTCCAATCCCATGGGGCGAATAGGAGGAGGAGAAGAGGAGGAGGAAGAAGATGAAGAAGACGGGGAGGGAGAGTGGAGGGGGGTGGGGGAAGCGCGGGCGGGGGGGGAAGAGGGGAGGGGGCAAGGGGAGGTCTGCTCGAGAAGAAGGGTGGCCCTCGTGACCCCCGCCGGGTCCAATTGCAGGAGCTCTGGGGGAGGAGCGAGGTGGGGGGCCAGCTAGGTGCACAAGCGTCTCAGCTGACGTCCTGCCCCTCGCTCCCATCCCTTGCCATGGCGTCGATTTCCTCTCTATTCGAACAGTCGGATGTCGAGCAGGGCCATGGTCGCGAGAGGGTACGAGACGCATCGTAGTGCACGGCGTACCAGGGCGTAGAAGAGCACCGCATAGCGTCGTCGGGCCGAGGACACGACTCCTGTTCGACAACAGGTGGGGGGGCAGGGAAGGAGGGTGGAGCTCCTGACTGGGGAGTGCTCCCTCGAGCCACTGCGTCACCACTGGCCCACAAACTAGGGAGGGGGTATTCCTGGATCACCTGCCAGAGTGCCATGCCCCCAACACCTCTTCCCCCTCCTGCACGGTTTCCCCCGGGGCCGCAGGCGATCCGACGAGGAGGAGGAGGAGGAGGGGGAGGAGGAGTAGGAGGTGGAGGAGGGGGAGGGGGAGTTGGAGATGGAGGAGGAGGAGGAGGGAGGATGGAGGAGGAGGAGGAGGAGGAGGAGGAGGAGGAGGAGGAGGAGGAGGGAGGAGGAGGAGGAGGAGGAGGAGGAGGAGGAGGGAGGAGGAGAAGAGGAGGAGGAGGGAGGAGGAGGAGGAGGAGGAGGAGGAGGGGGAGGAGGAGGAGGAGGAGGAGGAGGAGGAGGAGGAGGAGGAGGAGGAGGAGGAGGAGGCGGAGGAGGAGGAGGAGGAGGAGGAGGAGGAGGAGGAGGAGGAGTCGCCTAAGCCCTTCGGAGAAACCCTCCCGCCCCTCCCCCTGCTTTGCCCCCCTTGGAAGGGAAGAAGTGGAAAAGGCTCCCCCCCCCCTGTGGACATCGGAAGATCGTCCCACATCGCTGAGGCGTCGGCAACGTCGCACGGATGACATCAGGCTCTTGATCGCGCCACGCCGCCGATGCATTCCTCCTCCTCCTCCTCCTCGTCCTCGTCCTCGTCCTCCTCCTCCTCCTCCTCCTCCTCCTCTCCTCCTCCTCCTCCCCCTCTTTCCTCCTCCTCTCCTCCTTTCGCTCCTCCTCCTCCTCCTGCTTCTCCTCGTCTTCCTCGTCTTCCTCCTCCTCCTCCTCCTCCTCCTCCTACTCCTCCTGCTCCGCGACCCTCCGATCCCATCTGCCCCGATCCTGTCAAGGCGGCCTTGAAAAGCGGGAAAGACCCCGGCATCCGATGTCTCGAGTGTCTCCATGCGGCCCCTCGGGGCTGGCTCTTCCTCCCGAGCCGTGGTCGACGGCCCCGAGCCCGGCGCGGGCCTCTCCAGAGGCCCAAGGCTGCGTAAAAAAACTTCCGCCTCGAGTTCTCGACTCGATGCTCGTCTGCTGGAGACCGCTGCCCGCAAACCTGCGAGACTGGCCGGAGGCCTGGGGAGCGGCACGCCGTCTCTTTGCAAGGCGGAGCGTGTCGCCAGGGCCGCCGCCGCGACACGCCAAGCGACAGCCCGCGACGATGCTGATGCTGCTGCTGCTGATGATGATGCTGATGCTGCTGATGCTGATGCTGCTGATGCTGATGCTCGGGGGCAGAAAAAAACCGCCCTCAATCAGAAGCACCCCGACCAGCGAAGCCTTCTGCGCAGCAACAGCACCCAGGGAAGGGACCGAACATGGCAGGGCTGTGCAGGAAACGGCCAGGTCCGCTCAGCAAACGCCAGGATGCATCGGCCTGCAGTCGGCGATACGCCGCCGACAGATCGGCGATGGGCCCCCAATAGCAAACGCCGCGCCTTCCTGGGCAGGGTGGGGCTCTCAGAGCACCGTCGGCGATGCATGGGCGACGGGGGGGTCGATGCATCCCCCCCTGCCTATCCCTACGTCGGGCCTGTCCCCCTACAGGGAGATTGTGTACGACAAATATAGAAAACAGCAAAACGATGCCCCCAAAGAGGCAAACAGAATGCTCCAAACATGGTCCCCCGACTATTCTGTGACCACTTTGGAATACTCCTCCTGTAGAGGGACAGGCCCGACTTCAGCCTATCCCCCCTTCTGCCTATCCATACGTCGGGCCTGTCCTCCAGGAGATTGCGTACGACGAATAATAAAAAAAACAAAACGATGCCCCCAAAGAGGCAAACAGAATGCTCCAAACAGGGTCCCCCGACTATTCTGTGACCACTTTTGAATACTCCTCCTGTAGAGGGACAGGCCCGACTTCAGCCTATCCCCCCTTCTGCCTATCCCTACGTCGGGCCTGTCCTCCAGGAGATTGCGTACGACGAATAATAGAAAATAGCAAAACGATGCCCCCAAAGAGGCAAACAGAATGCTCCAAACATGGTCCCCCGACTATTCTGTGACCACTTTTGAATACTCCTCCTGTAGAGGGACAGGCCTGACTTCTCGGGAGCGGCCAAGAGGGGGGTGTCCAAGAGGGAGGGGTGCAAATCATGACCGGCGGCATGTGCGCGGCCCAGCGGGGGGGCCTGGGACGTAATGAAATAAGAAGAGGCGCCATGAAATCTGGGGAAATATCATGGCCCCCGCCATGATATCCACCCCCCCTAGTCATCACCCCCCTCTTTTCCGCCCCCGACTGTAGAGGGACAGGCCCGACTTCAGCCTATCCCCCCTCTGACGCCGTCCCTGCTTTGGTCCTCGGGCCACAACTCGGCTCTCCCACGGCCGCTCGGGACGATCCAGACACCCCCGGGAACGCTCTCGGCGAGGCGCGGCTGCTGGAAGGCACCCCGCAGGCTGGACAACCGAGGAGAACCAGCGAGGACGTCCGAACGCCTTGCACCTCGAAGACCTCGAATCGGGTGTTGCTAGAAGCGCCCCTGGCCCAAGGTGCCCCCAGCTTGTCGCTCCATTTTTGACCCCCTGGGGCCCTCTGGGCCTCGTGAGGGGTGCCCTGGAGGCCGTCTGGGCCACCCCGAGAATCCTGGGGGTACCTTGGGCCAGGGGTACTTCTAGCGACACCCGGTCGAAAACCTCGAACCCAACGTTGCCCCTGACGACCGATCCCCGAACCTCGAACCTCGAACCTCGAGCCTCGAGCCTCGCACCTGTCGCTGCCCCCCCGAGCCAAAACTCCCCTGGAGTTAGGTCGGGCATGTCCCCCTACAGGGAGATTCTGGCGGAAAAATCAAACATACCCCAGAAATAGATTCAAGAATGGCCAACAAACACTCAAAAAATGGCCTCCCGACTAGTTTTGGACTATCTGGGAATATTCCTCCTGTAGAGGGGCAGGCCCGACTCAACCCTGTCGTTGCCCCCCGAGCCTTTCCTCCCCCTGGCGAGAGGGGGCCCTGCCATTGGACCGGTCGGTGGAGCCGGGGGCCCCCTTTTGGCAGGTGGATCGTGGATCTCTCAAGCTCTCCGCCGTCTCTGGCTTTGCTGCGTTCCTGCTCGCATCGCACACCACCAGAGGCGGCGGGGAGCTTGAGAGATCCACCTACCAAAAAAGCCCGAGACTATCCTCCCCTATGGTCTTCCACCCTCCTCTCCGTCCTCCTCCTCCTCCTCCGCCTCTTCCGCCTTCTCCCCTCCGTCCTCCTCCTCCTCCTTCTCCCCTCCTCCTCCTCCTCCTCCTCCTCCTCCTCCTCCTCCTCCTCCTCCTCCTCCGCCTCCGCCTCCTTCCCCCCTCCAAGTTATGGTGGTGGTGGTGGTGGAAATCAGGCCCATGGCGAGGGGGGGCCTGCCGTTGGACCTCGGTCGGTGCAGCGAGGAGCCCCCCGCTGCTCGCGCGCGCCGCCCAGGAGCGGGCGGCCCAGCCCCGGCGGCCAGGGGCAGAGCGCCGGCGTCCTCCGCCGGTAGGCCCAGAACTGCGCCGCGCGCTCGGGCACCCAGTTTGTGAGCATGCGCTCCTCTCGGCTCCTCCTCCTCCTCCTCCTCCTCCTCCTCCTCCCCTCCTCTCCTCCTCTCTTGATTTCGAAGCGAGAAACTGCACAAACATAACATCTTTCGAGGCTCCGTTTGCGTGTTCCTGGAACGGCGCTGGCCCCCCCCCCCCCCCCCTGGCGGCACCTCAGGCGCCGACCCCTAGTGTGCTTCGCGCGCCAGGGAAGGGGTTCCAAGCAATCCGCGCGGGCTTTCATCAAGTCTATGTTTATGCTGCGTTTCTGTTTCTGTTACGGCGGGGGCTTTCGTGAAGGAATGTCGGGGGTTGCTAACGGTACCCCTGGCCCAAGGTGCCCCCAGCTTTTCGCTCCATTTTGGAGCCCCTGGGGCTCTCTGGGCCTCGTGAGGGGTACTCTGGAGGCCGTGGAGGCCTCCTTGGAAATCCTGGGGACACCTTGGGCCAGGGGCACTTCTAGCAACACCCGAGAATGTGCCCAGGAGGCTCCAGACCCTGGACGGATCCTTGCCTGATGAGGGCGGCGGTGATTTCCCAATCAGCGCTGCACTGAAGGGGTCCTAGCGTTAGGTCGGGCATGTCCTCCTACAGGGGGATTTTGGAAGACAAATAAAACATCGTCAAGCAATGCCCCCCTAAATGGTCAAAACATACTCCGAACATCGTCCCCGGATTATTCCTTCACGAGTCTTGAAGCTTCCTCCTGCGGAGGGGCACTGCCCGACTTGACTCGCGGCGGCGCGCGCAGGCCCAGAGCTCCGACGCCGCAGCAGGAAAAACAAGGGAGCCCTGGACCACGTCTTGCTGCCCCACTTTTCGGAGGCCGGAGCTTCCGCGGGGCCCGACTCTGGGCGACAACGCTCCCCTCTCGAGAAACGCACCGAGACGCCAGGACCCCCAGGGCTGCTCGAGACGAGGCGGACCCTGCTGCCTCTCACACGTGCGCGGCCACGGCGCCGCGCAAGAAACTCGATGCGGGCCAATCACGGGAACGCTGAAGACGACGACGACGACGACGACGACGACGACGACGACGACGGTGGCGACGACGACGGCGACGACGACGACCACGTCTGCAGCCAACCTCGGGAATGCTCACGCCTCTGGCAGGCCTCGAAGAATGGCCCCGAAGCGCTCCCGAACGCTGCGGCCCCTGGCCGCTCACCCCTGGGGGGTCAAACTTCGCAGGCCGCACAAGGATACGACAGGCTGTGGGACGGCACGCCGCCCGGAGAGATCCGACGCTCCGAAGAAAATTGGAGCGGCGGGCTTTGGGGTCGTCTTCTGCCTCCAAGCAGGCCTCGAGTTCAACGGTGTTTTTCCGTTCTCGTTTTGCTTTCGTCAGCCATGGTTCTGCCTTCGTTCCACACTTGCCGCGAAACGAAGTCAGATCGAAAACGGCCCATGAAATTGCCAAAACTCAGGAAGGGAAAAAACACACACAGACACAATTAACCGTCGATCCCCAGGAAAAATGCGAAAATATGGGAAGTGGGTGGGAAGACGAAAAGCAACAAAAAGATGGGAACATATTGGGATTTCTTATATTTGTATGTATTTGTTTGTGTGTCCCAAGGCCCCTTCAAAAACACCGCTCCGCTCGAGTCCTGCCTCCGAGAGCCCTCGCCGGGCCTCTCGGGACCGTCAAACAAAACGACGCAGGACGAAACACGCCGGCCTTCGAGAAGGGGCCCAGAGACCTCTGGGCCCCTGCGTGGAACAAAATTTGAGCGGCCGGATGTCTGGGGAGAGGGGGTATGGGGGAGAGGGGGAGGCTTCTCGGAAGGAGGCTGCGTCTCAGAATAGGGAGCGAGAAGAACCCACTCTCAACACAAGCACCCCGACAAGCGAAGCCATTTAGTCAGTAAACGCCTCCAAGGAGGAATCGAACATGGCACGGCTGTTTAGTAAACGCTCAGGGCCGTTTAGTAAACGCCAATTCTCGGGGTCGGGGTGGTTCTTCACTGCTTCCCTTGCCTTGGTAGAAGGAGCTTGGGGCTCGCTTAATGGGGGGCGATCAATGGGGGGGAAGAAAGGTGCACTTTTCGGACCCTATGAAGGCCTCCATTGGGGCCCCTTTAAGGGCGCATTTATCGCACCACCCCTACTCCACGCCCAAGGAGCTGCTTCTTACACGGCGCCAGCCCTACATCTTTAAACAGGGCCCGCGCCGTCTAAGAAGCAGGGGTGCTTCCGAGAAGCCTTCCCCCCTCCCTCTGCCCCTCTCTGCACGTGGCCGATGCAAAGCCAGGACGAGGACAAATCCGGGTGAGGATAAATCGAGAATCTCTGAGATCCGCCGGCTCTGGAGGATGTCTTGGGCACCGCGGCCCTCTCAGAGCGTTCCAGAACGTTTTGAAAGCTTTCTGGGACCCTCTGGCACAAATCTATCCTCGCTGTAGCCCCGTCCAATCCTCCGTCATCATGGTCACCGCCGCGAGCACGACCGAATTGATCGCGGTGCCCGACGCCACGTACCACGGCGCAGCCGTGGCGGCTGGCCCGGACATGCCCAGCACCCCCCACCCGGCCAGGCCCCACCAGTAGACCTGTCGGTGGCCCAGAGATGGGGTCCTGAGGGACGGGGGCCTAAGGATAGGAAGCGGTCCAAGGGTGGATGTACATTGTTCGAGGCTCCTCGTCCGTAGGACCCCATCCCCAAGGACCCCATCTTTTAGCCACCGGGCCTGCTCCCCCAGGTAGTTGGGGTGACGGCTGTACCTCCACAGCCCCGTGTCGAGGAGGGGGGCCACCGCCTCGCCGGCCTGCCTGCGCCGCTCGTTCTCCAGCATGTAGGCCCGCAGCTGGTTGTCCGCGAAGAACGCGATCGCAATGCCAGAGAGGCAGACTCCCGCCCACAGAACGTCTGCAGCTGTCAGGCGGAGCAGTGCGTGAGCATCTGCTCCTCCGTCCTCGTGCGCAACCGCGACCAGCAGGTACCGCAGCGGCCACGAGATCCCCACTAGCATCGGCTGCTGCGCGAGTCCGACCGCGAAGAAGCTGAGGACAAACCACATCCTCGGGTAATCCCGCTGCATCTTCGTATACCGCCAATCCTCTCGTTCGCCGAACTTCCAGTTTTCCCGCCGGAAGTAATTCCATGTAAGCCGCGCCGCCCACAGGAAAATCAACGCCAGCGCGACATAGGCGCGTGCAGGATAGTCAATATCTGTTGGCTGTCCTTGTGCCGCTTCTCTAGACCACGCCATGTAATAGAGCGCGATCATCGGCGGCAGAAGCGTCCAGTAAGGATCGATGAGCCACATGGACTTCTGCACCCACCCGATCAGCCAGAACCCAACACTGACATTCACAAAGAACATCACGTTCACTGCGACAAACGGACGCTCGAAGAGGTAACACCGCGCAGTGGTGGAGACCGCAGCGGGAGAGTTGCAATCCGACGCCGCGAACAGGTATACTCGCACGAAGAGGATCGATGGCATGACTGCGACAGAGCAGAGCAGCGCATTCGTCAAGTTCTTCCCACTCAGGTGGTCGTGCGGCCGATACCCACCCTGCCATTCGTACTGCGACCACGAATCAAAGAGCATGGTGTTATCTGGCACATTCTTCTATGAACTGGTTCGCAGCTTGAGAGGGAGCGGAGGATGACATGGATTTGGTAGCGACGTAGAAGTATTGGTTGAGGATGGAGAGAGAGAGAGAGAGAGAGAGAGAGAGAGAGAAAAAAAAAGAGAGAGAGAGAGGGAACACAAAAACAAAAAACAAAGAGACAAGGGAAAACGAACGTTCGCCTCCTTGATGCCCTCCTCCTAGACTTACTCGAGTGTTAAACACTCACCCTCCTCGACCTCCTCCGTCTCCTCCTCTCCCTCGAGCTTCCTCAAATTTCTCTTTCCTCTCATTCTTCCTGACTGTTCACTCCTCCTCCTCCTCCTTATTCACCTTCTCCCTCCCCCTCCGTCCTTCCTCCTTCCCACCGTCGCCGCCGCCGTCGTCGCCGTCGTCGTCGCCGCCGCCGCCGTCATCGTCGCTGTCGTCGCCGCGTCTGCCGCAGGGGGCCGACGTGCGGGGAGCTCGCCGGGCCCGCCTTCGTCAGTGCGGCGGCGGCGCCGTCGCCAGCGCCGTCGCCGTCGCCGCCAGCGTCGTCGCCGGCGTCGCGGCCGTCGTCGCCTCCCCCGTCGCGGCGATGGTGGTGACCGTCGTCGTCGGCCAGCGGGGGCCGACGTGCGGGGAGGCCGCTGGGGCCCGCCTTCGTTGGTGCGGCGGCGGCGCGGCCGCGGTGGGCCGCTTGCCGCGGTTCGCCCCCCCCGCGCGCGCGTGGCGCGGCGCGGGGCGGCCGGAGGCGTCCGCGCAAGGCGGCCGAGCTTCGGCCTCCTCGCGGTGGCGGTGGTGGCCCGGCGAAAGCTCGAGTAGGGGATCGACTGCAGAATTGATTGACCCCATGATGGTTACACGTCAAATCTTCAACACGAGCACGTGGAGTGTTCGTAGATCTACGAGCCCTCTACGCATGTTCGCGGACTTGAGGAGAACAATCCATCCTGGGGTAAATCACTTCAGTAGTCGATCCCATACTCGAAAAGCGAAGGAATTCAACTCCCAATGCTCGCTGCGGTCAGGAACTTTTGTAGAGCGTTTCGCGGCGGCGGCCCGCTATGCTTTGCAAGCGGACAGCGTGTCGCTCCGCTCCGCGGGGCGGGAGGCTCGAAAAGGCTCGGGACTTTGCCTTGGACAAGGAGACGTGGAAAGCGTGTCGTGCCGACGCGTGATGGGCCAGAACCCGACCGTAGAATTGACTCCAAAGAATTTCTCGTCTCCCTTACTGCTGCATGCTGACTCCTACAACCCGTAATTCTAGACTCCCGGAGTGGTCCGTCGTGGTGGTCGTGGTCTGGTCGTGGTCGTGGTCGTCGTGGTGGTGGTGGTCGTCGTTGTCGTCGCCGTCGTCGTCGTCGTCGTGGTCGGTCGTCGTGGTTGGTCGTCGTAGTGACGTTGGTGGTCGTGGTGGTGGTGGTCGTCGTGGACGCCTGGTGGTTTTCGGGTCATCCCCCTCCCCTCCGGCGGCCGGCCAGGGGGATCCGGGCACCCCTCGGAAAGCTTCCGACGAGGCGCGCGCACCTGTTGGAACGCCTCCCGAGGCTGGAGAGCCGCCAGGAACCACCGACGACGTCCGAAAATCAAATGCCTCGTTGTCGCGGTCGTCGTGGTCACCATCGTGGCCGGCGTCCCTGGGGAGCCCGAGTCTCGAAGCACGCCCCGCGCCTCTGGCCGCCCCGCGGTGACAGGGCGGGCCTCGGCGGGGAGCGATCCCCCCGGGTGCCGCCGCGCGCGGCTGGCAGCGGGTGCGGCGGTCGCTACGGTCGCAACGTCTGTGTCGTCGTCGTCGTCGTCGTCGTCGTCGTCGTCGTCGTCGTCGCGTTCGTTGTATTCGTCGTCGTGGTCGTAGGAGGGGGAACGACTGATGATGATGGTGATGCTGATGATGGTGACGTTGTTGTTGATGATGGTGATGCTGCTGATGATGGTGATGCTGCTGATGCTGTTGCTGATGATGATGATGCTGCTGATGATGATGATGATGATGGTGCAAATGATGATGAAGATGATGACGACGATGATGATGATGACGACGACGATGCTGATGCAGAGGATTATGAAGATCATGATCATGATGACGATGATGACTATGATGATGTTGGTGATGATGTGATGGTGATGGTGATGGTGATGAAGATGAAGATGATGATGATGATGATGATGATGATGATGATGATGATGATGATGATGATGATGATGATGTTGGTTATGAATATGATGATGATGAATATCAGGATTATGATGCTGATGATGCTGCTGCCGATGATGATGATGATGATGATGATGATAATACTGATGATGATGATGATGATGATGATGATGATGATGATGATGATGCTGATGATGATAATAATAATGATGATGCTGCTTCTGCTGATGATGCTGATGATGATTATGATGATGATGAGGATGATGGTGAGCGGCGGCGGCGGCGACTTCGGCAACGACAGGAGAAAAGGAGGAGGAGGAGAAGGAGAAGGTGGGGGAGGGGGATGGGGGGGAGGAGGAGGACTTTCCGACATCCACCACCGACACACACTGTACCCCGCCCCCACAACAGGCAGCCTGAGCAGCCGACTCGGGGAGGCACAGCCAGTACGGCGCTTCTTCACGACTGGGAGTCCTCTCCCCGCGGCCCTAAGCAGAGCGGAACTCTAAGCGCCCACTGCCCTCAGCCTCTTCCGGCTCCTCGGCACCCTCAGCCCTCAGCCTCCTATTCCCCCCCCTCCTCCTACTCCTCCTCCTCCTTCGCCTCCTCCTCCTCCTCCTCCTCTTCCTCCTCTTCCTCTTCCTCCTCTTCCTACTCTTCCTCCTCTTCCTCCTCCTCCTCCTCCTCCTCCTCCTCCTCCTCCTCCCCCCTCAGATCCGACGACGCTTTGTCTTGAGCGCGCAAAGCCACGTGTGACGGCGTCCGTTGTCGCGCGGGTCCGAGGTGCATTGCTTCACCATTGTGTGTCTCGAAATACACAAGCCTGTGATCGAGAACTTCAAGTGTCTGGCCTGATATGAGGTTCATGGTCGCTTCTCTCTGCAACGGGCATGCTTCGCCTTCCCGAGCCCTCTAGCCACACGGAAACACGATGAACTAATCCAGAACCTCTCTTCCCAATGCCAGTCGTGAGGAGGCGGAACAAAAAGGAGATGTGTCGGAGCGGAAGGGGCTTGGTCAGGTGGACCCCGTGAGGTCCAACCGGGGCCATCAAAAACATATAATTCGGGGAAATAGATTGGACACTGCACGCGGGACGCGACAAAACGCGGGCATTTTGCTCGACCTCGTTTCTGCGGGTGTCGCAAAGCTGGCCATCGCTCGGACGTCCATTCCCTGTTTTTTTTGGTTTCGTGCGTTGTTTTTTCGGCAAATGATCAAGAATGCTCCTCGATGGTCCTCGCCGAGGAAGAAACGCACACGTCCGAGCGATGCCAGGAGAGTCGCGGCTTTCGCCGCTCGGGCACAGGGCCGGCCCGCGTCGTCGTCGAGCTCTCTCCGGGCCGCCATGGCGTCCCCCGGTGTGGGCCGAGGCAGGCAGCTCTCTTCGCGCGGCGCGCTGCCGCTCCCCCAGCGCGGTGGCTCGGGGGAGGGGCCGATGATGGGATCCACGGGGTGGGGGTGCCCTGACCTTCCAGGAGGGCTAAAAAATAACACGCGACTTAAAAACCCATCCCAGAGCTATTCTACGTCTTGATTTCAGGCTGTTTCGCTCAACTTTTTAGGTCTTCAGGCCTCCCGTGCTAATCTCAAGAAGGTCAGGGTGGGGGTGGGGGTGGTGTGTGTATGTTAAGGAAAAGCTGGTCTTCGCTCCTTCCTCTTGCACGCCAGACATGTTGCCTTTCGGTTACCCCGATTAGCCCCGCGCTGGTGCGGGCTGCCTCTGCCTCGGCGCCGGCGAAAAAAGTGCGTGTGGGCGGTGGTGGTGGTGGTGGTGTGGGGGGATGGGAGCCCTCAACTTGAAACCGTGCAGCTGAACGAACTGAAAGTGGAATGTGAGGTGGACAAGGGAAACGCGGGCGGCGCAAGCCGTCCTTACAACCGTCGCATTAGCCCACCCCATTCGCAGAAATCATTGGGAACGACAGAAAGTCCCTAAACTTGAGCCCCCAGTTGACGTGCACGTCCTTTGGCCCCCTGCTGGCATGACGATTCTCTTGCGAAATGCCTTCGCAAACTGGTGATCGAAATCGCATCCGAAGATGTATGGGGCCAAGCCAAACCTCCACATCAGAAACCGTACGCGCGAGGATACCACTGTCGGCGTCGCTCAACCCCTGGCTGTAGTGGAGATAGAGGCTGATGGGGAGCATGGCGTCCCCGCCTGGAATGTCGAGGATGCCTGCGACAGCCGTGTGGGGAATTGGGGCGTGGCCTCCATGAAGTGGTCTGCACTCCAGAAACGGACGAACTCAAATCCCCCCCCAACCGTAACCCCCGCGGGAGTGGGCAATGCTTGGGTGAGGAAGAGTTGCCACCCGTGCGCCTTGACCCAAGACGAAGCAAGATCCACCTCATCACCTGCACGAGGGTGACGCTCCTGCAGTAGGACGGCGTGGGCTTCGGTATGTGGAAATCCCTTCTGGAGGGTCGACCATGCAGTGCAGTTCACAATCTCAACTTTGAGAGCAAACTAAATATCTGCAGGGCATAAGGGGTGGGCTCAACAGTTGGACGAATCGCGGGTAAGCTTGATGGCCCGCGCCGCATGAGGCTCCACCTCGGGAGCAGGATTACCAGTTATGGGCTCTGGACTGGGCCTCCTTGGGTTTTGGACGAACCTCGGACTAGGTCAACGCAGGCTGGGGCAAGTTTGAATAAGCCTTCGGCTGCTTCGCACGGAACAGCCGACTCTGTCCTCTAGTGGGTTGGCGGCTGGCAAGACGTTGCGCAACCTTATTATACTCCGGATGATGCTGGGGAAGCCGGCGCCTCAAAAGAACGCGGGCTTCGCGGGGCTTCGCGAGGGCGCAAGCAGAGGAGGCTTCTTTGCTGACACGGGTGCCATATGCGCCTCCCTCGGGGAACTGAACCTACGGATAGGCACTGACTCAATCGGGAGGACTTGGATTTGGGAAGAAACCGCTGATCG